TGTTACATTAAACGGATCAGTTATATTTACGTTGCACAGTTTTTATATATTTCATTTGACAGATTCTGATATGATTCAAAGAAAATGTGATCTAAATTACCTTTCACACCACAGTATTCACATTTGTCACTAGGTATAACATTTATACAAGAAAGATGTTGGCGATAACATGCGTATTCAAAAAATCAATGTTATCAATGTTATTTCTAATTGTGGATTACATAGCAGCTTATATAAATGTCTTAACAATTAGAAGACTCTACTTAATATTGACAGATTTTTTTTTGTGATTTAATTTGTATTTTATATAGCACGTAAGTATTCATTAAATTATAAATATCAAAAACACTACGACCACTTTAAACAATTTGAACCTACTTAAGGCGCCATCTTGTTACCATCCTAATGTCAGTTTATTAGTACCAAATTATTTTGAGTATTTGTATGGGTATCTCCTCTGCCCATTAACTCGATGGTCTAAATCCTTAAAGAAAGAAACAGCAAACTCAATTTAGAGAAAAACTCGAGTTGACGATATCGTGATTCAATCACTTTTTAATCGTTTCTGTGATTAGTAAAATTTAAATAAATGAGAATGTTTTGTCAAATTCTTAAATAAATTAAATATTTTTAAGTGTTTTATTTAGAAAAAATTTATGAAATCGATAGAAAAATGCGTAAAAAATGTCAGTTTACGAAGATTAAGATAAATAAATAACAATTCGTAAATAATATCGTTCAACTCTATTGTACATCATTATAATGACATTTCTATCTTTAAAAATTTACATATGGAGAAATTTATAGATTGTTTTATATTGTTATACGTGTTTTAACTACAGAAAGTGGGTGGGGAAGGACTTATTAAACACAGTTCTAATTATTTCGTACTTAATTTAAATCATCATGACTTCATTAATATACATACATCTTGGAGACTTTAAACTTAATGAACTAAACTTATGAAACTTCTATTTCGGCATTCACCTAATGTATATAAATTACAAACTCAAGTGTTAAACTTTCATGTAAGTAAGGTATTAAGTTTGGCTAATATAAATTTCACAGATATAAACTTAGTTGAATAATAAATATTGACCTAAAACCTGCATAAAATAGGACATTCATGTATTCTGATTCATATATACAGAGTGTGACATAATTTTAATTTGATCAAATTTTAGCCCTAGAGTAAATAAACATTTATAACATGTATAAAATAGAACGTAGAAAATAAAAAAATTCTGTGCAATAAAACTAAAATATTTTTCTCAAATATATTCAATTATTTTAAATATTTTTGTTATTTATTATCATAAAATAAAAAAAAAAGTAAACAAAGAACTCGGTGATACCATTTTTAATAGCATACATAAAATTATCAATACATTCGAAGGTACTAAAAATAAAATCTGATGTGTCCAATACATGACTTTCCTATCTAGTTATTATAGGCTTTTTCCGGTTATTTTGTACAACCTATTGCAGCATCTCTATAAATGTTTAGAGGATAAACTAAATATATTGATATGGTCTATTTGTATCTGGGTTTTTGATTATTTAATGTATTTTAAATAATAAAGTTAATGATACAAACATCCATCTCATTTATTTAATATTTACCTTTATTTGTTATTGTTGTGCTCCGGCTATGACTTGTGTTGTCTCAGGCGTCTTGGGTTCAAGGTACGTATTATTTTATTGATTTAGGTCAATTTTTAAATTTTGTTAAGTTGTTATATTTTATTCTATTTGAAATCCTGTTGGTTGATTAAAATATTCCCCTTTTACAAATAAACTATGTTTATTTTAAAATTGTTATTAACATACATCAATCAATACAGACCAAGAGAAAATACAATTAGATAATTTTAAGCAATCATGTTTAAAAAAAATATAAAATAATGGACCAAAAATGGCGGAAGTACCATCCTCTAGTCAGTGCTTACAGTTTTCTTTATTTTATTTAATGGCCGATACTGTAATCGCTTCCTAGTGATTTGCATAGAGGCCTCCTGCATCGGCTTATCGGCTTTCTAATTTTACCTAACCTAGAGAAAATATACAATTGTTCATGTAGAAAAATTAGAAAAAAAAATGTTCCTTTTTTTTATATACATAACAATTATGTTTGTTAGATCAAACGTTCATCAAAAATACTTTCAAGTAAGTAGTCGCAATAGAAACCTTATTAAAGTTATTCAACACTAAGTTCACTAATTTCTATCACAGGTTTACAAGTTATTTGTATGGTTTCAAATAAAGGGAAGGAAAATTTGTTCTACTGGGTTCAAGATACGCGATTGAATGGCGTAAGACCCGTGTATCAGCTTCTTGTCCAGGTGAAATATAGTGTTTCCAAATAAAATATATATGCGCTTACCCATGGGCGAAGTTAAGGGGGGGGGCTTGGGGGGGCTAAGCCCCCCCAAAAACCAAATTAGCCCCCCCAAAAATAATTCGAACATTTATCGCACATCCACCCAAACATTTCAGATTTCAGAACAGAAATTAAAAAATAGAAAGAATCGCGCCATTTGATTGATTCTGCAATTTTACATTTAGTTCAGGAGGCAGTGAATTTTTTTCGTATTCATTTTTTCAGTCGGTGTATATGAAAAATAAACTGTTCTCTTAGTGACAAAAAACAAAATTTTTGAGTCTGACACTTATATTCCCAGTCATAATTATTTTACATTTACTAAACTAGAACATAAAGCTTATAAAAATAGCAGTTTGGATTATCTCAGATAGTGGAAAGTGAGTGTGGCAGAAAATTGTGAGCATATAAATTGATACAATCATGAACTGTTAATAATAATAACTCAGGCTGATTTACGAAATTGGCTAATGAGTCTGGTAATATCTTCTAAATGGAAAAAATATAATATTTTTGCTTTTATTTTCCCGGGTTTGAAAATTTGTCACGTGATAGATTAAATTATAATTTACACCTCCATTTTATAGCCAATCAACTGCTGTTATTTTAAAACACTTTCATGACAACCAGAAAATTTTCCGGAAATATTTCTTTTGGTGGGTACCCTGAACGAAATTATACTGAAAATTTTTTTGACAGTTGAGCAGCTCTTTCATGCATATAAAAAATTTGCCATTTCAGTGATTAATATTTTATTTAATACCAATTATAACTAGGTAGAAATACACTACATTTATTTTATGTAAAATAATAATTAGGTTTTTCGCGTCAACTAAACGACTTCAAATATGACAAATGGTCATGGTATGGCCACAGCATATGAAACATATGTTTTATATTCTGTGGTATGTTTTTTTCTTTTTCCGTTTTTGAGTTTTCTTCAAAATTCGAAATTTACACATTTTCTCAAAAATCTCGAATACGGTCCATTTTAGAAAAATTATGTATAGAATAAAAATTATAGAAAATTATATTACAAGCAACTTTTATTTAAACAATTTTTATAAAAAAGTATGTTTTTTACATTTTGTCAAATTTCTCGAATACGGACCATTTTAGAAAAATTTTGTATAGAACAAAAATTATAGACAATTATAATATTAGAAGTAACTTTTATTTGAAGAATTTTCTTCTTCAAATGTAAATAACAGATATATTCCATAAAATATAAAAATGACCACCTATAAAGTACCCCCCAGATGTTCCGACTCTGCCCAAAATCTAATCAGTCCATTAGACGCTGGAATAAAGCCTAAGTTTAAAATTTGGTGTTTTTCTGTGTATCGGTTCATAAGTTATGCGATATACAGACACACACACACACACACACACACACACACACACACACACACACACAACACACACACACACACACGCACCCACCCACACACACACACACACACACACACACACACACACACACACACACACACACACACACACACACACACACACACACACACACACACACACACACACACACACACACACACACACACACACACACACACACACACATCGCGAAAATAGTCAAAACGGATTCAGGGGACCTCAAAACGTAAAAATCCGTCGAAAACTCGAGGTCAAAAAAAAAAATCATGATTCCTATACTTTCCTTATATCTGTATACAGATAGGAAAGTAAAAACTAAAATAATTTGATAAATTGATGTTCTCACGATAATTTTATTTATACGTAGTGATTTTTAGTGTCTATTGTGAATACATGAACACACTATTGTATTGATCACATTTAGAATTTAATTTAATGACTTTCAGATCTTTTGCAAAAATTTGATGATTTGATAATATTATGAATTTTTAAGTAAAATTAACGTTTATTCAAACACATTGTTAATAATCAATTTTAATAAGAAGACATACATAAATTACAAGAAAAATGTGTAGAAAACTTAAATTTTATTTTTGTTACCTTATTATTTTTTTTGAAAAGGTATAGGTATTTATTTTATTTCACATTTGAATTTACAAACTGTTAATTATTTTTTTTTTATAAAAAATTGATTTTCATTAAACACAATAAAAAAGACTTGCAACAACAATTAAATTATTATTTGATTCGTTAACAAAGTTGACATTAACATTTTTAATACCAGTACAATTTGTTTCAATAATAAAGATCCAATTATTTTTAATACGTACTTAATTGTTTAATTTTTATCGCTAGTAGAAACTATGAGTAATAATATTTTAATTTAAATGATAGGAAATCATAAAAAAATGGTTACATTAACATTTTAGAATAAGCTTCTGTTAGTAAAATGTAATAATATTTCAATTTAAATGATAGAAAATCATAAAAAATGGTTATATTAACATTTTAAAACAAGTAAATTCTTTTAGTGAAATGTACCTGACTCAGTATTTGTCAAGCTTAATATATTTTAAATATATTATCTTGTTAATAAAAATAATATAATTCTTTCTGTTGATTTTCATTTAAAATTGTACTATAAATATTTTTGGAGGGCAATTCAACTTGATCGAACAACACACATACGGATCTAAGTTTCTAAGTAATAAAAATCTTGATAGCATACATAAAACTTATCAGGAAAAGAGATCACATCGTATCCAAAGCACATCAAGTCGCTCTTCTCACCTTAAGCATGTTAAAGTTACGGAAAAATGTCATCGACGTGCAACATGTCATAGCGCGCGAAAGTGCGAAACTTAAAATAATATCGTGGCCAGCGCTACTGGCGTGAGAACGTCGAACTAACGACGCTCACCGTCGAACCGCAACTGTGAAGAGACAGGCGTCTGAAAGCGCCGGCATCGCGACCGATCGCTCGTTCCTACATCTCGCGTCGACTGCGCAATGCACAAATACGTTTACCATCAAAATAAATTAACTAATTATAACTGAGTTGTTTCAAAAACTGTTGTCGGAGGGTAATGGCGTACCGAGGAAAGGTCGGATACGGTCTAAGGTGTTGTTTATAGCAAGAGGGCGAAAAAAGTTGACTTTTAAACTTTTCTCTAGATGGATATATCTCAGTACAAATGATGATAAATGAGCAAGGCAAAAAGGATTACATTTACGTTAATGAATACTGGTAAAATTATATTACTTTAAGATGACACTTGGTTTTGATGATAATGTAAATTATTAAATGGATCAAACGACTTACCTGAAGGAAGTTCGATCCTAATTATGCGAGCATCCTTGTTAGTGGAAATTAAGATATAGTATACCTTTGTTACGCCGCTGACCCACATGTTCAGAATAAAAATTTTACGTTACTCTCTATCGCTGCCTGCCTAGATTACTCATTACCTGTTGTGGAGCCTAGGAGTGTGGGGTTAAAAATAATATAAATATGGTGGAGGTGAGACTTTATTTCCACTAACAAGGATGCTCGCATAATTAGCATCGAACTTTCTTCAGGTAAGTCGTTTAATCCATTAATTATGCTTCACATCCCTGTTAGTGAAAATAAAGACAACCATGTAGTTGTGTAGAGGAGGTTCTATTCAAAATAAAACTAGATTTTTGTTTTCTACGTAAATGTATACAATAGAATATGAAAAAAAATATTACTATAAATTTCCCACAAAATTAACAATAATTAATAATAATGCTAATGAATTTATCATTAAACAACTTAACAAAAAATAATATTGAATTTGAACAATCCAGTTTTATAGGTTTTTAATAATTTTGCAAACGTTGATTTTACGTCTTAATTGTAAAACTTGTTAAACTCTACTGATCTCTTTGTCCTACAATTTTTCTAATGATTTCGATATATCGATATTGCCGCAGATTATGAGGACGGTCGAGGTACATACGTATGTGTAATAAGTACTTAAGCTACCCACCCAATAGTTTGGGGAGATACTGGATGGACTGGAGCGTCAGTGGTTAGAATAAAAGGTCCTGAAGACCTGTGAGACTTTGTTTTTTTTTTCTTTTTCCCCATAAAATAAAAATTGTTTTTGCCGAGCATAAATTGAGGTAATTCGTGGGAGAATGAAAATACTAATAAAGGCTGGGCTCGTTGTGGAGTCGAAGTTTAAGCATTTCGTTAATAAAAATTTGTATATTGTTAGCTTCCTCCTTGAAATTTTCAATTTTAATCATTGGGCTGCAAGCATAACAAGTTTGGCTCTTAGCTGTTTTAAGTTTTTCAAGTGAAAAAAACTATCAAAGTATTTTAAAACTGTGTTTTGGTCTTAAGTTTGAATACATTTTGGCAAGACAGGATGACCCTTTTTGAAATTTCCTTATATACATTTTCTTCTATTATTCTAACCCTTTTTGAAATTTCCTTATATATATTTTCTTCTATTATTCTAACCCTTTTTAAAATTTCCTTATATACATTTTCTTCTATTATTCAGAATTTATTTATTTATTATTTATTTATTTATTTATTTATTTATTTATTTATTTATTTATTTATTTATTTATTTATTTATTTATTTATTTATTTATTTATTTATTTATTTATTTATTTATTTATTTATTTATTTATTTATTTATTTATTTATTTATTTATTTATTTATTTATTTATTTATTTATTTATTTATTTATTTATTTATTTATTTATTTATTTATTTATTTATTTATTTATTTATTTATTTATTTATTTATTTATTTATTTATTTATTTATTTATTTATTTATTTATTTATTTATTTATTTATTTATTTATTTATTTATTTATTTATTTATTTATTTATTTATTTATTTATTTATTTATTTATTTATTTATTTATTTATTTATTTATTTATTTATTTATTTATTTATTTATTTATTTATTTATTTATTTATTTATTTATTTATTTATTTATTTATTTATTTATTTATTTATTTATTTATTTATTTATTTATTTATTTATTTATTTATTTATTTATTTATTTATTTATTTATTTATTTATTTATTTATTTATTTATTTCATTCATTCATTCATTCATTCATTCATTCATTCATTCATTCATTCATTCATTCATTCATTCATTCATTCATTCATTCATTCATTCATTCATTCATTCATTCATTCATTCATTCATTCATTCATTCATTCATTCATTCATTCATTCATTCATTCATTCATTCATTCATTCATTCATTCATTCATTCATTCATTCATTCATTCATTCATTCATTCATTCATTCATTCATTCATTCATTCATTCATTCATTCATTCATTCATTCATTCATTCATTCATTCATTCATTCATTCATTCATTCATTCATTCATTCATTCATTCATTCATTCATTCATTCATTCATTCATTCATTCATTCATTCATTCATTCATTCATTCATTCATTCATTCATTCATTCATTCATTCATTCATTCATTCATTCATTCATTCATTCATTCATTCATTCATTCATTCATTCATTCATTCATTCATTCATTCATTCATTCATTCATTCATTCATTCATTCATTCATTCATTCATTCATTTCATTCATTCATTCATTCATTCATTCATTCATTCATTCATTCATTCATTCATTCATTCATTCATTCATTCATTCATTCATTCATTCATTCATTCATTCATTCATTCATTCATTCATTCATTCATTCATTCATTCATTCATTCATTCATTCATTCATTCATTCATTCATTCATTCATTCATTCATTCATTCATTCATTCATTCATTCATTCATTCATTCATTCATTCATTCATTCATTCATTCATTCATTCATTCATTCATTCATTCATTCATTCATTCATTCATTCATTCATTCATTCATTCATTCATTCATTCATTCATTCATTCATTCATTCATTCATTCATTCATTCATTCATTCATTCATTCATTCATTCATTCATTCATTCATTCATTCATTCATTCATTCATTCATTCATTCAT